TTAGTGACTCATTTGGAGCAGGGGTGCTTGACATTAGAATTTGGGATCCTGACAACACGGAGTAGAGAATCAAGCAAGTTTGTATAACCTGGAAGGAACCTCCACCTTTATTAGAAAGCTCTCAAAACTATATCCCTGAAAGTCTTAATTCCTCAAATGTTAACGTTTGCCACAAAAGAAATATTGTCAACTAGTGGTTAAGCCAATGAAAGAGATTTCTTAAATACTGGACATGTAATGCACATATTTGTAATACTTCTGAAATGTAGATGAACATGGGATCTTTCTGTTGGGGCATAGTACTTATGGTAAAGTAAATACTTGTTGGAATATAGTTTAGGAAACACGGCTCTAGAGATGATAATTTAGGTCATTGATTAAAAAATGCTTTAAACATATACTTCTGTGTGTTATGGTTTGGGTTATAGAGATAAAAGATACAGCACCTGCCCTCAAGAAGCTCTTGGTCTAGATAGGAAACAATAATGTAACTACAGCATACCATGGTGAAAGCTGTGGCAGAAGGAAAGATTCTTGGACCGTGTAAATGTTTGATGTGAGTGTTGGAGATGACCGGGGTTACTGTGGTCAGGCAGAGGAGGGGCATTTCAGAGGTGAAGAGTGGAACATGTGAAAGCACAGAGGGGTGAGAAGGAAGGACAAACTGTTATTTACTTTGTGTGTTATGTATTTAAGTTTATAGGACCTTTTATGAGGTTTTCAATTTAGTTGAGAAATATGTAATTTTGTAAATGTAAATTGTTTTTGCTGTTTTACAGGAAAGGCTAACACCACTTTTACTTGCTGTAAAAACAAACAATCAGCCAATGGTGGAATTTTTAGTACAGAAAGGAGCAAATATACATGCGTTTGATGAGATGAAAAGGTACAGTAGTACATTTTTTTCTTTTAAACTTTCACGTTGTTCTAGAATGGTAATAGTCACTAAAGCCAGATATATTAAATTAAGAAGAAGGTCACCATATAATTAGTGGGATAGAGTGAAAAATATTAATACAAGTCATCAGTTAG